AGCTAAATTCCCTCAACGGCAATGCGAGATCTGGAAAAGGTCCTAGATCTACGGGTGTTCTCTCTCCCCCTCTGCTGCATTAGACGAACGAATGCAGTTTCTCTCAATGCTAACCACTGCTTGCCGCCTTCGTTGAGCTCCCTGCCTGCCGCCTTCGCTGAGCTCCCTGCCTGCCGCCTTTTATAGAGCAAGGAGATCTAGGGTGGGAGAAAGTCGGCTAAAACCAACATTGAGCCCCTCACCTTAGAAAATTAGTAGGTTTTAACCCCTAACCTTATAACATGACACTTTTAGTCATTTATCTTACAAAGTTGATAAGTTTTAACCCCTCACCTTGCAAAGTTAGTAGGTTTTAACCCCTCACCTTATATTATGACACTTTTAACCCCTTATCTATATAAATTGAAGAAAATAACCCTTGTTTAATATCAAGTTTTAATGTTTTATTAGTTCTATTAGCTGACTGTTAGTTTGTTAGCTGACTGTCAGTTTGTTAGCTCACTGTCAGTTCTGTTAGCTGATTGTTAGTATCCATTAGCATTCTGTTAATGAAACTAATAAATAAAATTGAATTTAAATTTCATATTTTTTATAACGGAATGCTAATAGATATTAACAGTCAGCTAACAGATGTTAACAATCAACTAACAAAACGTTATAACCTAATATTAAGTGAGGGTTATTTTCTTTAATTCGTATCAGTGATGAGTTAAAAATATCATAATATAAGGTAAAAGATTAAAATCTACCAACTTTGTAAGGTGAGGGGCTAAAACTTACCAATTTTGTAAGATAAAAAGTTAAAACTGTCATGTTATAAGGTGAGGGACTAAAACCTACCAACTTTATAAGGTAAATGACTAAATGTTAGTTTTTGCTCGAGAAAATCTAGTATACAACGGGGATACCACATCAGCTGGTATCCCCGTTCAATAATAGAACGACACCTCATAAAAAAAACTTCATAATTAAATTAAAGAGAAGGAAATGATTTTTATATCATTTTTTTATTTCGCTTTTTTTTTTATAACATGAGGTATTAATTAAATAATTAATTTCTTTAATTGATATCAATCCATGATATTGGATATATATGTAACCCAAAACGGGAAACTGGTTTGCAGTTGGTATTGCAAATTTTTGGGCGGAATTAAAACAGCGCCGTTTTAATATTAAACACATGTTTTGGGCGGAAATTGTTTTGGGTTCTTTTTTCCCTAGTTTTCCTTCACCATCCTCGTCTGAACGCTCTGCCTCCCTTTTTCCCTATTTCATCCCCTCCATCAAACATAATCCCTATGATTTATCTTTCTTTACGTGTGATTTCTTTTCATCTATGATTTCTCTCTTGCATTGTTGAGAGCATTTTGTTCGTTGTCTGAAGTTTTATCAATTTCCTTTCATCTTATTCTTCCTTTGATTCTGGTAATCTCTCACAGGTTTGATTTGATTGCTTCTCAGTTCTCTTTGATCAATTTTCATTCTTTTTTCATAGTTGAAATTGAAATATTAAATACATGTTTAATCTTGTTTTCTCTTTAGTTCTTTACTTGTTTAGCCATAAATTTCATTTGGTTAAGTGTAAAATTTAGAAGGTTTTTGTTTTTTAGCAACTAAATTTTAGAGGTTATTTGGGAAATGTATTGACTCTCTTTCAATGGGAAGATTTTCTTAAATGGAACTTTAATCCATTTGTTTTGCTAGTAAAAACTGTATTAATTCTTAGAAGATGTAAGTATAAAGTACCATGCATGCTCTGTTTTCAAGTTGAAAAAACAAAGTCCCTGTATTAGTTTCATTAAGAAATTCCTCTTGAAAAAGTGGTCTTGGTGGAGTTTTTTCTATGCAATTTTTTTTATTAGTACTATGTAATTGCTCCTAAAAAAAAAACCCTTAAATGCTTCACATTTTAAATTCCATGTTTTTTATAGTTTGATTATTGTCATTTTTGTTTGTTTTATAGGTGTTCTCCAGATGCTCAAAGAATGTCTCAAGATATCAATGTTCAGTAATTAATAATTGATATTGACAACAACAATTTGTTAATTGTACAAGAAAGGAATGAGTATGATTCACAAGAGATTACAAGTGCTATTGCCTCTCATGATGTGGTAAAAGCTAGAGAATGTGAAGAAATGTCAGGTGAAGATGGCATTACTAGTTGGATGCCTCATGAAGCGATGCAATTTCCTTCAGAGAAAGAAGCTCGTGAGTTTTACAATGAATATGTTAGGAGAGTGGGATTTAGTATTCGAATAGAATCATCAAAGAGATCCACCTCTTATGGACCTATTGATAGAAAATATTATGTTTGCTACAAGGCTAGTAAGAAGAGACCTTATGTGCCTAAATATAAACTGTCATGTGAACGTCCAATCCGAGTAGGTTGTAAGACTCCAATGTCTTTGCACTTTAAAAATGGAGTTTGGATCATCATCCATTTTGTTGATGAACATAACCACGAGTTGTTTAGCTCTCCAAATAAAATAAGAAAATTGCGCTCTCATAACAAAGAACATTTGTTACAAGAGACAAGGGAGTTAATGGATCAATACAAGTTAGCAGGGTGTGGACCTTCAAAAATTGCAAGAGTCTTGAATGTCACAGGCCAAGGTAACTCAAATATTACTCCCCAACAATGTCAAGAGCACTTAAGGAAGAAAAGAGAAAGCAACATTAGTCGTGAGTGGTTGGTAGTTATGCAACAATTCTTAGAGATGACTGCCTCAAATGAAAATTTCTACCATAGCATGGAGCTTGATGAAGATGGTGTTTGCAGGAGCATGTTTTGGGCAGATGGGAGAGCAAGGGAAATGTATCAACATTTTGGTGACGTTGTGGTTTTTGATATGACATATCGAACCAATCAATTCCTTTTACCATTTGCACCATTTACCAGCATGAACCATCATGGACAATCAACACCATTTGGATGTGCCCTTTTACCAGATGAGACCGAAGCTACTTTTGTATGGTTATTTAAACAATGGCTATCATGCATGGGGGGTAAAGAACTAGGTGCAATCATCACCGATCAAGACCTGGCAATCACAAATGCTATTAAGAAGGTCTTTCCGAACACACGCCATAGGTTTTGCATTTGGCACATCTTACTTCATGCAGATGAGCACCTTCATTCATTAAGATCATCATATAATCTCGGGTTTGATGAACAGTACTATAAGTGGGTAAAAAGTAGTAAAACCATTGAAGAAGCTGAGAGTGCTTAGAAAGAGTTGAAAGACAAATATAAGCATGAGTTTGTGGAGCCATTAACTGATAAGAAACATAATGAAATGAAGTCTTGGAAGTGGTTGGAAAACATGTATGAACAATGGTATAGTTGGGTTGATGTATATTTGAGAGACACATTTTTTTGCTGGAATGAGATCAAGTCAGCGAAGTGAGAGCATTAATTCATTTTTTGATGGCTATGTGAACTCTAAAACTCCATTGTCTAAGTTTGTCAGCCAATATACTAGAGCATTACAATCTCGGTGTGATCAAGAAGTGAATGAAGACATGCAAACCATGAAAGCAAAGCCAGATCCCCTTAACTTACATCCTATTGAAGTTCAAGTGGGAAATATATACACTAGAAAAATTTTTGACAAATTTCAAAGTGAATTCAAAGCATGTTTCTATTGTATGCATGATGAAGTGAACACTTGTGACGGGGTGACCACATATGTTGTTACTTATGAGTTGGGAAAGATGGTTGACTCACAATTTGTACGATGTGGACCATCAGCTAAGGAATTTGCTTGTACATGTGGGAAGTTTGAGACTGCTGGTATATTATGTAAACACATTTTATACATTATGAAGCAATGTCATCGAATGAAGGAGATTTTTAAACGCTACATTTTGGTTAGATGGACCCTAACTTATAGGCAACATAGTAAAAAGACTGCGTGTGGATCAAGTAGTGTATCAAAGATTCAATGGTTTCTCCTTTGGAATCTTGGAATATTCAAAAATCATTTATGGAAGTGCATGAATGAGCAATAGGACACCGTGATCATTACAATGCTATTGCACCATTATTAGATGATATGATGAAGCAGTTAGATAGAGTTGACAAGCAACATGAAGGTTTGGTTCTTGAACAAAATGTTAGCACTCCAGCAATCTCCCAAGGTGCAATTTCGAGTAATATAACAATTCGTGATCTGGAAAGAGCTAAAACCAAAGGCCGACCAAGAGAACTTGGTAGGATTCCATCTGGAAAACAAGTGTCACAAAAAGCATCTCAAGCAAGGATGCGAACTTGTAGCATGTGTGGTATCAAAGGTCACGATGCTAGGACTTGTGGAAAGACAAAGCAGAAGGTGAAATTATTAACTTATTAATTAGTTTTATGACTTTTGGACTTTAGTGCATCTTTTCTTTATTTATCCTATAACAATATCCTATTTTACCATGGTTTAAATATAGGTGGAAGCTAATGATAGTTTAAGCCAACCACTACATGAGAAGGAGTGACTTTGATGACATAAAGCTATAAAATAATAGGTGGTTATAAATCTCCATTAATTTTCAGTCATTTCCTCTTATATTGGATTTGTTTGATAAATATGATGATTGTTGTGCTTGTTGCAGGAGGGATTTATTGCATGTCAATTCCAGCTGAACACATATTCCTTCAATTTGATCAAGCTTTTCAATAGCAGGGCATATATGGGTTGCAAATTTATAAAAAAAATACTCTTTGTTTTTATCATGTTTTTTTTGTCCGGATGATCAAGTTATGTTATCAAGTGAACTGAACTTTTTTGTGCAAAAATTTGTGCTTTTGCATTATTGTATTGATCAAAGATAAGTCAAGCCAATGGGCTTCTTTTGTTTATTAAATTGGTGTTGGTTTTATCTCTTAACTATTATAAGTCAGCTATAAATTTGCTTCAATTGCAAAGAAGAAAAAGGTATACAAGTGACTGAACTTTATTTTAGATAGAAAGGAAAGCTCTTTCTATTGCATCAAAAGCATTGTACATCTTACACCCAGGCATACTTGGGGAAATTTCTTTCTACAGGTTGACAAAACTTTGAATCAAAATTTGTGTATTTACAGCTTAGAAACACTATTTACATTCTATCCTTTTTCCAGCATCACCAACTGGCTTCTTGCTCTCCAAAACCAAACCATAAAGATCATCAAATCACTATAGAATTCAACCTCTTTAAAAATAAATAAAAACAAACCTATGAAAACAAAAAAATATCATCTACTCGGATAAACAACATAAACCAACAAAGTTTTGGACAATTCATATATATATTTAAGTTTGTAAAAAATAATGTAAAACCAATTCCCAGGTACTGACCCAATTGTAAAAGTTCAACACAAGGATTTACAAAATAATCACTCATGTAGTATTGAATATTATTCAATAATAAGAAATTCTGCCAAGAAATTTTGCCAAGAAATTCCAAGGATTCCTCAAAGATCTCTCCCTCTTCAACCTTTTTTTCTTTGTTTTAGGTTGAAATTGAAGAAGAGTATAATTGAATTAGGGAAACCAAAGAAACTCTGAAATTCCATCTTCTTCTACTCTCTACAACTTCCAGAATCCAAATTCAACAAATACACACTTGAGTAATCCATCGAATATCATCAAGTTCATCGAAATCCCCAAATTTGTCTTTCCCTCAACACCATTCCCCAATCGACAATCACCCAATCCCACTACCATACCCACAAGATCTTTCTCTTCTCCAACTACATCCTCCTCGGTGTTGCGTTCAATTGCATCTTCTTGATCCTTTCCCTCCGCTTGAATTAGGGAAATCAAAGGATAACCATCTTTTTGTCGGCAACTTCTTTGAAATAGTCTTCAGGCCTCCAGTGAAGTGGTTGAGTGGCTATGGTGTCGGAAGGATGGAAGGAGAATTTGCAAGAAAGGGTTTTAGGATAAAGGGCTTTTGAATGCAGAGTAATAGGGGCAAATCAAAGAAGAAAGGGGGATGAAATGAGATAGGAGAACAAGGAGAAATCAACGAAGAAAAGGGGATGAATTGAAATAGGGGAACAAGGGCAAATCAAAGGAACGGGTTTTGTCGAAGATTTGGAAAGTAGAAACAAGGGAAAGTTGAAGACGAGGGATGAATTGAGATAGGAGAACAAGGAGAAATCAAAGAAGAAAAGGGTATGAATTGAAATAGGGGAATGATGTCTCGCCTCAAAATTAATACCCTTTGGCTAAGCGGTTGTTGTAGCGTAGCTTTAGGTGTCGAATACACATGGAAGCTATATTAAATCAACAAAAAGAGTTGTTACAATGAGAAATTAAATTAAAAGATGAATTCTAAAATTAAGAATAAAAATATTTAAATAAAAGATGATAATTGTAAAA